GGGGTTATATAGAATTCTTTGAAGAGATGTTGGAATCGAATGAAAACAACAGGCTTTTTACCTATTTTCACTAGAGGCTAACACCCATTTTATTTCGCAACCATAAATTTTGGGCCTATACATAAAGGAGGGCTTTCTCTAAGGGTTGTGAAAATAAATTTAAAGGTGTAAACTAAGTCTCAAAAGCTAATGTCTAAAACCCTACCAAATACCAACTTTCTTCTATACCCTATAAAAGAGTACCACTGAGGGAACAATCCAGAAAATTGTGGAAATATAACATCCAGAGTTACTAAATCAAGACAGAGGACTTCACAGATTGATTATTAATTTACCTGGCAGGCCAATCTTTTATTTGTTTTTTGTTTTTTAAAAAAGCTCTGAAATTAGCTACTATATCAGAAGGAACACAGATTGAAACGATGCCATTCTGACACACAGGATCAGAAAGTCCTAAATTACATTCTGTTCAATACTGCTACTAGCATACCACCGAGACGATGCACTGCTATGTTATGGTGATGATTTGACATGATCCATTTTCCTTAACTAAAGCTTTAGCTTCTGTTGTTGTCTGAGGCTTTGGTGGCCATTCTGGATCAACCAGGAGCTCCTGAGCCAGATACATGTACTTTGCTTTCGGTATCTTCTTTCTACAGTCCAGGGCCCAGGACACACAGCATTTCCCCCAATAATCCACTGACTCCTAAGGAAATAAGGAAAAAAAACACGCCAGTAGATTAAAGGCTGGTTGTTTTTAACAGGTTTGTTAAAACAGAGTACATCAACAGGACAAAAATAAGAGGGAATGACTTCTGAGCACAAACAAATGAAAAAAAAATCCACGTAAAAAAGTCAGCTTTCAATTATTTAGGAACATTTTTTAAGATTAGATGTTTTAGTTATCAATGTAATTTATTTTATTTAGTTTTACATATCTATCCTCTTGCATTTGGGTTCATTTTTAAAATAACTTGCAGATCTGGATAACACAAAACATTTAATGCATTAAGAATAAACTACTTGGAAAGAGAAAAATTTTTAATATTTAATATGGAAACCCTCATATTCCATCCCAAACTATCCTTTGGTACTATTACTCCTAACAACTTAGCTACCTGGTCATTTTTGGAAGAAAGCAGTGTAAAAATATCATTACTGTTAATATTACCTTTCAAAACATAAAACATTATGAAAATATTGTTAGGTCAAAATCAGAACTTAGATCATGTTTAATGTCAATCACTTCTTTTAAAACCACACTTTCATTAATATAAAAACAATTTTATTTTATAATGATGGTTTCTCTTGGTGTTCCACCTTTAAAAAGAATTACATACAAAGCTATAAAGCAAGTACTATTTCTTAGTATTATTCCATTATAAAAGCTCTGCTGTCACTGAAACCCTTCTGATCAAGCCTGATGTTTTTAATGACTGTGACCTCAGGTAAGTAATTCTTGAAAAACAAGAAAGCAGAGTCCCTTGTTATTGTACAGATGTATAAATTCAACAGAGGCCCTCGGAATTTACCTTAACTGAAGTTTGCGATAAAGAAATGAAATAAGCGCTGGCTGGTGTGGCGCAGTTGGTTGAGCGTTGTCCCAGGCACCGAAAGGTTGCCTGTTCGATTCCCAGTCAGGCCACATGCCCAGGTTGGAGGCTGATCCCCAGTAGGGGGTGTGCAGGAGGCAGCCGATCGATGTTTCTCTGTCACACAGATGATATTTCTATCTTTCTCTCCCTCTCCCTTCCTCTCTCTCTAAAAATCAGTAAAAAATCTTAAAAAAAGAAATGAAATAAAACTAAATAAGCCCTACCCAGTTTGGCTCCAGTGGTTAGAGCATTGGCAGGAGGACTGAAGGGTCATGGGTTCAATTCCTGTCAAGGGCATGTACCTCAGTTGGAGGCTCGATCCCTGACCCTGGACAGGGCAGCTGTGGGAAGCAACCGATTGATGTTTCTCCCCACCCCACTCTCCCTAAGAAATCGATGGAAAAAATATCCTTGGGTGAAGACCAACAAACAACCTAAACAACCACACCAAGACCTGTAGGTACAGTCACCTCTAAATAACGGTCAACTTTTAATTATTTTGGCTTTCGCTTCTCCAAAGTAAAATTAAACCCCAGGCAGTTTTATTTTGCCATCAACACATAACCCAGGCTACAATTAGGTTTAATCTCAATGGAAGTAATCTCACAAAATGGAAGCATAAGGTAACTGAGAGGAGCGTTCTAATGTTAACATCCAAAATACCTTCACGATTAAGAAGGGCTGATTTGCTATAGCATGTCCTGAAACATGTTTCTACATTTGCCAGTGGAGAACAGCAAAATACTTTAAAATGAAAACTCTTTTAAATTTTTCCATATTTGGACTTGGTAGGTCTTCCCTTTTTTATTGAGACTACCACCAGGAACCCATTACTCGTTCCTTCTCCAAAACTGTGGTGTGGGCACGTGGCAGCACAGAGAACACTATAAATAATAACTGAGTGTTTTTAAAGGTCTGCTTACTTTGTCAACAAAACACAGTAAGCTGCACTGCTACCAAGAATGTATAGGCAAAAACTGTGGTCACAAGTAAGGCATACTTTACAATTCTGGGGGGAGAGGAAAGGTACAGATTTGAAGACTAGCCATCTAGCTAAAATGGGAGTTATTACCATCACCTTAAAAGAATCCCAAAAGAAAATATTTTGCATTAAGGTACAGAAGAGACTAGATAAAGGATTTTTCAGGTGATCCAAATAACCAACAACTGCTTTCTAGGGTAGGCTCATACACAACAAACCTTAACATTTAATCTGAGGTGAGGGCTCACTACTTGGATCTATCTTTCTCCCATGTATTTAAAGTCTTCAATTTAGTTGCAGAAAAGATCATTGTTCCTAAATCAATCTGAAAGCTGTCACTTTTTACTTTATGGCATGTAACACTGTTAAAGGATCACAGAAAAAGGTTAATGGTGAATGGTGATTTTAAGAAAATAAAACAACAACAAAGCAGAAACATATAGGCCTTGTCTGTCCAGATGAGCCGGCAGGGTTGAAGGGCAATGCAGAGCAGGCTGAGTTAAGGAAAGTCACAGCCAAGTGGATTCAAATGGAAGACACACATACACAGCTCTAAATCCATCGTTCCCTACCTGTGGGAAGTGAGGCAAGCAATAAAATTAAAACCAATTTCACTGCAACCAGAATCACAATTGAATAGTATTCTTTTTTTTTTTTTCAAATCCTCACCCAAGGATATGTTTATTGATTTAAAAAAAATTTTTTTTTAAAGAGAGAGGAAGGGGGGGAGGGAGAAACATTGATTGGTTGCCTCTCATATAAGCCCCGACTGGGAATCGAACCCGCCACCTTTTGGTGTACGAGATGACACTCCACCAACTGAGCCACCTGGCCAGGGCCGAATAGTATTCTTTTTACATCAATGTGTATGTTTTTAAAAATCCTCATGTCCCTATTAAAAGCAAGGTACACTTGTTATTCAGAAAAATAAATTAAGTCACAAGAAACACTAGGGATACCCCCTCCACTGTAATTAGACACATATTTTGTTCCTGTGCTCTCGCCTTTCTCAAACATCATACACAAAAAATACACTATAAGCAAGCATAGGTTTGTTAGTTTACAAGCACAAACATACCATACACATCCTCCAACACAATATAATTCACTGGTAGAGAAAACAAAAGGTGTTACTGGCATGCTGGAATGAGAAATAAACCAAGGGAGAGAAGATGGCGGCAAGAGGAGAAAGGCAAGCACTGGGCAACAGGAAAGCGAAGAACGGGGGCATCACAGGACTCAGAGTGAGCACTCGGGTCTCCCCGAGCACCTGGGCACAAGTCTCTGAAGCAGGAGAACACAGGAGCCCCAGCAACTGAAGCTTTTGGTTTGCTCCTGAAAGGAAACCCCAGTTAAATAACCAAGTGTATCCCTCAGAAAAGGGAAAGAGGCTACCACAGACCAACAGAAAAACCACAAAGAACTTTCAAGAAGATCAACAGCTACAATTCTCCTGCTTCTCAGACCATTACAAACTGTTCATTCTAGAACTCCAATGCCAGTTTAATCTTTACAGTGTCTTTTAGAAAATGTTTTCATGGGTAGCATGTAAAATATAAAGCCATGCTTGTAGGAAATGTTATAATGGTACTATGGTTTTCATAAAAGTCTTCTTCCATACCAATCCTGAATATAAAACCAATAAGGACAATCAGAATTAGCATTCTATCTCAATAAGCTCAAACAATATTCTAAGTGGCATATAGACTACAGCTAGCACTTGGATTTGCCCCCAAAAAGGAAAATGTAATCAGGCATAAATCCTCAGGCAGGACCAAAATACACGATTCTAGTTCTACATCTACCACTAAGCAGCCTCAGTTTACCAGAGGACAGGCACCAATGCTTCCCAGTAAGAGAACATGCAGTGCAGATCTTCTCCAACAGGGTAAAGCTGTACAGAAACAGATGATGAAACCCTCCACTGAAAATTTTTCATTCAGTAGAGGTCAAGGGTGAAGCTCAAAGGCATTTTTTGAAGAATACTTTTGCTTGAAAATCACTAATATATCAGTAATTTTTTAAAATTTTTTTTTGGGGTCACAGAATAAGTATTAACATCTGGGGGAAAATATTTAGCTACATAAAAGTTTTAACTTTGATTATTTGCACGTGGTTTACTTAACTTGTTTTCAATTTGATTCAGGCTACCAAACATCCTTAAGAAAAACAATCACTATGGGAAATAAATTAGTATTATGTAAAAATTCTTCCTGTATCTAAATTAGGTTCGCTGCATGAATGTTCAGTAGGCCAAGAACACAGTATCTAAAATGTCTACTATTAAGTAAAAAATTATACTTAAAAGTTTATTATGTCTTTAAAGGATAGGAGCTTTTGGTATAGAAATATAACGGAGCTAGGTCAGGATAAATCTGAATCTGGATTCCAGTTCTAACCCTGTATCCTCATCTGTGAAAACCAGGAGAGAGAAACTAAGGACATCCATATATCTGGAGGTGGTCGTAAGAATTAGAGAATTCATACAAAATGCCTCACACAGTGTCTACAATAGAACGTAGGTATTGAAAACAGTAGCTATGTCTGTCTCCATTTTGCCCTGTGATTGTCACATTAATTTACACCTGTATGGTCCCATGTATGTGAGGCAATGTGGTAGAGTGGGAAGAACACTCCTCCTAAAACCAGAAACCCTGGCTTCAACGCCCAACTCTGCCATTTCGTTAGATGCAAAACCTTGGCAAGTGGACTGAATTTTCTCTATGTATAAAATGAAATTAGAAATGCCTTAAAATTGGAAGGATCCTGGAAGTGCATAGTGCCTTGCAGGTCACCAGGTATTTCTGACATGGTTACTAGAGATTTCCAGGTGAGGTTTTTGACTTCCCAATTCAACTAAGGCCTGAAGCCTAGTCCAGGGTCTTTAGCTTTCCACCCAACTCAATGGTCTGGGTGTATATGGTAAGGAAGGAAAAGGAGAGAAAGGTTTTCTTCCCTGACATTAATACAGAAGGTTGGGAGCAGCAGTCTGAGAAGAGCGCATGGGAATCTTGGTAGAAAGTGCACAGAATGGGCAAATGTGGAACAGGAGTTTGGTGAGGGAAAACTACAGCAGCCCCAGAAGTCGTAGGTGTAGCTGGCCAGCCTTGCCTTTACTTTACTTTTCGCCTTATGGCAGAGTTTTTCAACCTGGGCACTACTGACACCTTGGACCACATCTTCTGGGTTGTCCTGTGTATTATGGTAGGATGTTTACTTAGCAGCATCCCTGGCACCTACCCAACTACATGCCAGTAGCAGCCCCACCCCACCCCTAAACTGACAACCAAATATGTCCCCAGGTACTGCCAAATGTCCCAGGGGGAAGAGAGATGCCCCTGATTGAGAACCACAGCCTTACAGTAATATGACTAACTAACTGGCTCTTGAAGGGTCACCAGCCTTACAGTAATATGACTAACTAACTGGCTCTTGAAGGGTCACAAATACAGTGACACCATGTTACACACACAAATGTCAGAAGGCAAAAGTATATCATTCTAAGAGGTTATAAAAGCTCTTTTTAAAGCCAATAATTTAAAGAAGTGCTTTCTTAATCATGACCACAGAAAATGAAGACTAAAATTCTTTTCTAGTCAATGATCCTCAGAACTGGTAAGCACATGGGACATGCTGGAGCTACCTGCTCTAGACCACTCACTCTCTCCCTTCACTCTCCCCTAAACGCTTTAGAGGTAGGACTGCACATGAGAGACACAAACTCTTAAAAATAAGGACAGATACTTATTAACAAATGTTTAAAAAATAGAGATGTAGCAAGTGATAGAATTTTCTGCCATTTAATTTTGGTTGAAAAGTGAAGAGGGATTTCCAATTCAAATGTTTTAAAGGAGCTACTTGGGTTTTTAAAAAAATAAGTGAATGACCCAACTCAGCAATGCCAAGGAATCTTTTTGAACTCTACAAGCTTCCTTGCATGGCTCATGATGAGCAAAAGATTTAGATTCAGAAATCTTTGGTAAAAGATTGAGAATACCTCACCCACCTACACACAGATGGGTAAGAGAATGAGGGGGGAAACTTTGCACAGCCAAGTTCTCTGTACCCAAGGAGCTGTAGAGCTATATGGAATTCAATGGCATCAGTTTAAAAAATAAGACTAACCTATTCTATAAAAAACTATATGCCAATACCGTAACTAGGATATGGGCTTTAGTCATCTGATTCTCTTCTCTCTTTATCACAGAGCTTGCATATCTTTCAAATAATAGGCTATATAATGGGTCAAAAAGTAGAAAATCCTAAGCCATGGTTTATATACAAATGAGCACTGTCTGAAAATTTTTCTGAATGACGAGAGACATATGTTGAGCAAAGCCTAAAAGCTACCCATAATTAAGATACAGTAATAATAAATCAGAAATAATTGCTGAAAATTCTGACCTTTGGACTCTGATTCATTTAGAAATAATTCCCATTTCATAACTTTGTTTACATAAATCTCATTTAGCTTCTAATGGGATTCATGAAAACCAAAAACATAACATTTAAGTCAGAAAGAAATGGAAAAATTAACTCTCACCACTGAGGACAAGACCTTTACACACACATGAGATAAGGATTGGAATGGAAAAGAGACTTATGAAATTTCTGAAGTCCTGAAAAGCCTGAAACAGAGGTTTGCCATGAATTTTCTAGGACTCCTTACAGGAAATGAAATGCCAGGCGTAAGGAAAGAGTTGAAGCAACACACAACAGAACAGCACTCTGTAGAGTACACAACTGAAAGAGTCTAGATATACATGAAGAATTGAGAGCAAGTGCTGATTTCCAACCTGTGCTGGCTGTGTGGTGGTGAAGCGATACTCTCCTTGTCTGTCTCGATTGAACACAACTTTCCAAAGGACCATGTCAAGGCAGAAGCTCTGAGAGATATTCCAGTGAGTTAAGAATTAAAAATGACTAAGTTACTCTTTATAAATGTGCACATTTAAAAAAGATCACACAATGCTGAATCATCAGTGAAAAACATGATTTGACTTTTATATAGAGAATTTCTGTTAATATTGCAAAAGGGCAAAGAATAAAAACATGACTTTTATGACAAATATAAATCATCATAAAATTCTTGATAAAATGGGACCTCTAAATTTTCCACAAAACATGACTTTTATATGAATAATCAGGTCTTTCCCATATTAAAAATAATGCTTATAATCCAAAGTCTTTTTCTTAACAATGAGTTATTTCCATTCAGTATTTAAAATTAATTCTATACCTATGTGTAGCTATATCTATATATGAGTATGATTTCATCAGAGTCCAGCAAAAATAATTATTTTGCTAGTGAGCAAGAATAACAAATTACAAGGGATTGTGAAAGGATTCCCTAAAAAAAATAAAATGTTTTTAAAAAATATATTTTATCTTAAACATTTGAGTGAAAAGATGAACTTATCCTATAGAAAAAGAAAAGCTTTTAAAATATAATGTTTTGGGTGCACTTTCTATTGGTCATACAATAGCAAGAATACATTCCACTGGGCAACTTAAAAGGATCAGTATCATAATATACATGCTGCCCACTATGGTCCAAATTTAGATACCAAGTCATCTTTTAGAAAGATAACAAATTAAGCATAATTTCCAAGTCTAGAACTATTATCACTACAGTATACATTTTACAAATTACCTAATTTTAATTCAAAATCATGCCCTATGGAACCTTAACTTAAAAACCACAACTGTTATCTCTTCCCGTTTCATATACTGCTACTGTAGGACTGAATAGTAATAGTTTGGAGAACAGACAAAGTTATACTAATAAACAGCAAATGAGAACTCAGTAGCTCCTTTTATAGAAGTGGATCTAAAGGTGATCCTAACAGGAGAGTAACTCTACAATGTACAATGGATCAAAGAATACTTAAACCTTTAGAGGGAACTTAAAAGCAAATATCAAGGAGGAAGTTCCAGTAATCAATGCTGAGACTGGGTAAATTCATAACGGTCATTATTTTATATTCTCAAAAAACTCTCTTATTATTAATATTTACAACATTTCATGGAGAAAGCCCCCTTCCCTTTTCTTCCTTAAATGGGAGATTTTACTATGCATCACAGGACTTGGTGGTACCAGCCCATTCTGATTTCTTGGCCACCAGTTTATGGGCTGCCTGAGAACCAACACCCCCCCACCCCTAGCTTGGTGGTTTCTTCTTTATTGATGTGCCTCCTAACTTCCCCGGACAAGTCTGAGCACCAATCTTCTTTCTATCAGTCGCTAATTTCTGCTATCTCATTGCTTATTTTCTCCTATCTGTATGAGTGCAGCTAAGTGATATCCCTTAATATGACTACTATCAGTTAACAGAAAATGTCAGAAGAAAAGGCTAAATAAATTTAACTAAGATGAAACTGAACCTTTGTGGGCTTCCAAAATGCTACCTGTCCTCTGCCCCCATTACCATTAAATTACCAAGAATCCCAAAGCAGCAAGGTAGCCATTTGATTATCTGAAGTGCTTACCTCCATCATGATAGATACAAGGGCATTTACAAAAACAATGATGAGCATAGTTATACGCCACTGATATGGTACACACACTATCTGTAAGATAAAAATTTTTAAGTTAAAATTGTAGTATGTAGTTGATATTTATAGCATTATATCATAACTTTAAAATCAATCAAATTCCTATTATGTACCACCAAGCACCTTCACACAGAATACCTACTCAATTCTCAAAAGTGGCACAAGGGAGACATTAATTATGTCCACTGTTCAGACGATAAAACTCAAAGGGCAAATAACTTGAGGTTAAAAAATATTCAAGTGGCTGAGCTTAGTGTCAAATCCTAATCACTCAGACTCAACAGCCCTTGCTCTACTAGATCATAAATTTCGAACAAGTCCCCATTTTAAAAATAAAATCCTGTTTTTAAACAATGAGGCAGACAAATACTGATATAACAATGAAGTATTACTCAAAACACTATACTGTTATAAAGACAAGTTCATAAAAGAACTATACATATCAATTTAAGAAATATAATCTAAGTTTTTACTTTAAAATCTGTGATTAATTTATACGGCCTAAAAAAAAAAAAAGAAAAAAATCCCATTCATGCATTCATCCTTTTAGCAAGCAAACATTCACTGAATGAGTACCTAAGATACTGTGCTAGGTGCTGTGGAGTGATATGACCTAATGTTTTAGAAAAACACCGATGACTCCAGCAAGAAGGATTTGAAGGGTGAAGACTGCTATAGTAATCCAGGGAAAAGACGATGGTAGCTTGAACTAGAGTGGTGGCATCATAATAAGAAATATGTATTTGGTCTCTGTCCCTGGTTCATGACACTTAGCTCTTAAAACTCTTGTTATTTCCTGAGTGAGGTAGATGACAGGAGTCTCTTACACAGAGCTTCTAAATCCCTTGGCATTTCCTGTGGATCAGAAATGTTTTTTGTTCTAATGAGGCTACTCTTGGTGGCTCCTGGATAGCCTCAGGATGGGAACTGGTCACCAGAAAGACTAAGCCACGATTAGAAGCCTGGACATTTCAGCTCCACTTCCTCATCATCAGGAAAGAAAAGAGGGGCTGGAGATTGAGTTAATAATTTATCATGCTTAGTGATGAAGTCTCCACTAAAAAAATCCCTTAACTAGAGGCTTTGGAGACTCCTGGGTTGGTCAACACATCATGTGCTGGGAGGGTGGTGCATCCCAGCTCCACAGGGACAGAAGCTCCTGTGCTCAGGACCCTTCCAGAAGACCTGAGTCTATGTAACTCTTCATCTGGCTGTTCATCTGTACCTTTATTATATTCTTTATAATAAACCAGTAAACATAAGTGTTTCCCTAAGTTCTTTGAGCCATTAAAGCAAATTATCAAACCTGAAAAGGGGATAGTGGGAACCAATTTATAGCTGGTTGGTCAGTACAGGTGACAACCTAGGACTTACAACTCGTGTCTGAAGTTGTGGTATAGTCTTGTGGGACTGAGCCCTTCAATTGTGGGGTCTGCACAAACTCCAGGTGGTTAGTGTCAGAACTGAATTGCAAGATACTCATTTGGTGTCCAGAGAGTTGGAGAATTGGCTGGTGTGGGAACAACTCCCACACATTTGGTGTCAGAAGTGTTGTGAGTAGAGGAAATAATAGTTTCCTTTTAGGTGACAAATGGGACTGGAGTAAAAAGAGAAACAAAGATTCAGCATAAGAAAACAGAGAAACTATCGACAGACTGGCTCTAAATGGAAATGAAATAGGCAAGGACACACATACACACTTCTGACTGGGTAAATGGTGGTACCAAGAAACGAAGACAAAGCCAAGTTGAGGAAGAAAATGATGAGCTTAGTTTAAAAATGCTGAGTGTGGGAACTGATGGGTGAACCATGCAGATAATATTCAGTATGTCAGTGGAGCTCAGTGAGATCTGAATATGACAGCTAGGCTAAGGGAATAGAGTCAGGGGTCTTCATCACATAGACAGTGACTATGGGTGAAGCCATGACTACAGGTGAGATCACCTGATGTACAGAGTAAGATCAGGGATAATTACAGAAATGTGAGGAGCACAAAACATGTACGGAGCATGTGGAGGGTTTGGAACCACAATGGAGAATGAGAAGGAGGAGTTACAGAAGTGGGGGAAACCACGAGGGAGCAAAGCATCACAGAATACCAGGAATGATGGCATGGCTAACTTGTCAAGCACTGCTGAGGAGTCAAGTAAAAATAATAAATAAAGAAATTAATGGGACGAGTCCACTGGACTTAAGAAGGAGGCTGCTAATTACCTTGGCAAGGGTAGTTTCAGTAGGCTAGCAGGTGTAGGATGCAGACTAGATGATGAGTGCACGGGAGGTGGGCTGAATTTTCATAGCACTCTTTGAAGAAATAATTTGACTGTGAAGTAGACACGTGTGGCAGGAGAGAAATGTGTGTTCTGTTTTGTTTTCTGCTTTTGCTTAAAGTGCTTATCTAAATCCTTCAATGAAACGTGGGGAGACACACTCATACACTGCTGATAAGATTATAAACTGTCAACCTATTCAAAGGTCAATAACACAGTACTAATAAAAATTAAAAATTCTAGATGCCTTTTGACTGAGCAATTCCACTTCTGCACATTTAACCTCCAAGTTTATATATTTGTCCTTCTTAATGAAGTGTACAAGGATTTGCAATACAGCACTTCTTATAATAGCAAGACACTGGAAACAACCTAAATATCCATTCAAAGGGGATTAAATTATGGAAAAGTCCACAAAATGGAATACTCATCCCACAAAGCTCATATAACTTTGACATGCAAACCTCTCAATGACATACAACAAAGGAAAATTAAGTGTGATCTCACTCATGCAAACAGAAGCAAAAAATCCTAAACAAAATCATAGCACACCAAATCCAGAGAGTATTAAAAAAATGCATCATCACCAATTGGGTTTATTGAATGCAGTGTTAGTTCAACATTTAAATACCAATCAACTAACTATAATTCCCCACATTCTCTAGGGAGAAAAACTGTGACCATTTCAGTAACTGTAGAAAAAGCATTAGGTAAAATTAATCATCTATTTATGGTAACAACACTATAGAAAAAAGCTTCCACAACCTTATGAACAGTATATACCAGAAACCCAGCCCACAATATATCCAATGGTAAAATATTAGGAGCATTCCCTTTAGAGTCAGGGACAAGACAAGCATATCACTACCATTACAACCAACATTACCAAGGTTAATAGACATGAAAAATACATACAAGGCATAAGTAGTGAAAAATCAGAAACAAAACATTTGTCATTATTTATAGATGATGACTATCTAAAACAGAAAAGCCCAGAGAATCTAAAAATATTTAGAATAAACTTTGACAAGGCTGCTGTATATGAGATGAATATACAAGACAACTGTACTTTTAGTGGGCTTAACTGCTGTATTTACATTCTCTACAGTAATATACCACTCTTGTTATTTGTACCTGGAATGTACCACCCCACCTCCAATCTTTGGTTCACCATTTCTCATTCCCATACACTAAAAGACATGTACATAACAGCCCTGTTAACACAGGGAAAAGAAATAACCCAATTATTTAATGATGAAAAATGGAGAAGTGAATTAAACTATAATCCTATAGTGGAATACTATATAGCAGTGAAAATGAAATGCATTTATCAGCATGGACGAATTTTATAAACAACGTTGATGGGACAAAAGCAAGCCACAGAAAAATACAGATAGCAAGACACCATTTTCATAAAGTTCAAAAGCAAGCAAAATTATCTTTTATGACTTCATACCTATATAAGTGTATAATGAAAAAGACAATGAGGTAAAAAATTAGAATAGTGGTTCTCTCAGGGTGTTTGGAAAAAGGTACACAATACTGCCTTAATGGTGTTGGTAATGGTACCTTTTTAAGGTTTGATAATAGACTCATGGGTGTTATTTTGTTACTATTATACTTAACAACTTAAATATGGATACATACTCTTTTGTATAAAACAAGTATTTCATCATTCTTAAAGTTTTTAATGAAAAAAAGTATGGAGAACTCAATGGACAGTGAAGAAGAGGCAGTATGTGTAGACTACTCAAGAACTATGTTGGTAAGGTACAGATAAATAACAGAATCAAAGCTTTTTATTTTTAAAGACCAAGGGACATTCGTTTGTAGAAAAAGGGAAATGGAACCAAAAGCAAACAGAAGAAACAGGAAAGAAAAATAAAATAGCAAGTAGAGTCAATAAAAGCTACTGTTTTGTTTTTATTCTTTATAGGGTATCTTTGGGTTAATATAACTGTATCTTAGAAAATTCAGAAAGAAGAGATCCTGGAAAAAAGAAATGCAGACACAGTTGAGTCTCTTTCCCCCGTAGCACAAAAGGGATAGATTTTAAGCCATAGCAAACATCCAGAAGTCTCACTTGGCTGTGTAAATTTCATGTAATACTAATGTGTCATTTTCTGTTACTGTCCCAGAGACTATCACTCCTCAGACAACCAGCAATAATTGATGTGCTTAAATTAAGCCTTACCTGAAGAACCTGGTCAATAGAGGCAACTGGATGCAACATGATGAATAATATGAAAACATACAAAATAGTCACAGACAAAACAAAAAGATCTGAAAAAGTAAAACAATTAAATTAGTATGTTCCTTTATATAAAAAACCATATAATAACAACTGGTGCGCTGTCAAGCCTAAATTTGGTTCTGAATACTGAATACTGCTATTTAGGTTGATGAAGTATATAAAGTAGGCTCTATGTTATTTCCTAGAGTATGATACATCATTCTGGACCAAAGGAATCATTTATGTGATGCGAAAATAAACAGCATTTAAAAAAATAAGACCTTTACGATCATTTGTATTTCTCCCACATAGACAGCTACTTTGTAAGATAATCAAGCTAATAATAACTCACAAATAAGAGACTAGACTATGTATTGCAAAACGAGGTTATCATTTAAACATGTATGCAATGACAATTATTGTTGATTGTAAAAATGCTGAATATTTATTCTCAGTATTAGGTATGTTATAATCCTAAATAGAGATATTCTAAGTTGAATGTAAGTATATTTCTGTTAAGCAAGTCCCACTTTTTTATTGACTTTTTCCGTGAAAATGTTTCCACAGAAGGTGTTAGCTAAAACCTAAAAACTGAGTTGATTTACTATGTTAAATGTGGACTACCCCTATGGCTTGCTGTGATAGCTAGGAATGGTAAATCCCACCCAGTAGTACTTTGTACCATTTTCCCAACTCCAAAAACAAAACTTCCTGCTCATGGCCCTCTAGTTAACTGTGTGCATACATGCATGCATGTATACAAGCATATCTTTACATAATGAGCCATGAGAGAGGCTCAGAAATTTCCCAACTATATTGATAGTCCTCAACTTTTCTTCCCTTTTTTCTTGGGTCTGAATATTTATTTACAAGTTCCTCCTTGAGGTCAGCTTCAAACTCAAACTTTATTAAGACCATATATAACCAAAACTTTATCATGAAGTCTTCAGATCAGGTACAGGAGTCAACAACCTATTTTATAGACTGTAAATGAGGGGGTCTCAACAGTATTATTAAATGTGGGAATCATTTGTAAATATAAACTTTATTAATATGTCAGTTCAAAATTACAGGACAATATTTATTGTTCAATAAAAACAATATTATGTGTTATATATACATATTATATTATTTTGTAATATATAAGTTATATAGTCATTCAAATAGTTATTATTAGCATCAGTTAAAGAAAAAGTGTTTAGAAAATTCCAGTTGGAAGTACACAAACACACAAACTAAAAAAATAATAATAATCAGAAAAATGACAAAAAGAAATGTCAGAATACAAATGCCAAAGAGAAATGTGGAGACAGAAGTTTTGTTTCAATAAAGTAACAGACCATATTGAATGTTTTTCAAATCCTATTGCATTTTCACAAACTATAAGCAAAAATAGATTTGCAATCTAGTTCCTGGCATGTTGCAAGAAGAAAAAATTTACTCAGGCTCAGAAACTTCTTACATCTACCTCAACACTTTTTCTCAAATTTTCATGTCTTTCTCCTAGAGCAACCCCTTTGATCACACCTCTAAAACTCTGCCAAGATCTCCACGTGAAGGAGAAAATAATGGAACCTTTCCTCTGTTCAGCCAGAGGAGAAAAAGAGGCACTATTCAAAGGAATTTGACAGAAGAGGTAGGTGGCTGGCAGATTTAAATAACCACCCAAATGAAAAGAACAATACGGATTTCAACCAACAATGGAAAAATCAGGTATTCATTTTGGAGAGGTAACAGTTTCTAGTGGATTGTGCTCTCAGCCCCTGGCTTGTCCTGGCCTTGTCAGTAATTTCTTAGTGATCCTATTGAATTACAAGCAGTACTCTTCACCAGAAGAGAGCTAGCAAAACAAATTCTGTGCTGGTGATTAAGGGCCACGGAGAATGTTCCTCAAGTTAAAGGTTTAGATTGTTTTAGATTCTGCCACAAACCTACGTAAACAAACGCTAGCAAGTCATTCTGAGTCAAATTATTTTAACTATAAAATGGGGATATAATGAGGATCCCATAGGAAAGAGATTTAAGTACATAAAATGCAATATAATAGGTAAACTCAAATTATTATTAAATATATCTCAGCTTATGGTATAACAGATTTGTTAATGACACCAGATCCTTTTGATGGAATATTACACCACAGTAAGGCACCATAAAGGATTTCCTTCATACTCCCTTTTTTTATTCAAAAATAAAACCTTACATAGAATGAAAAAGCCCACAAATCACGTGGCAGAAGAGACTTAACTTCAGGTGGAGAATACACTATGCAGTATGCAGATCACGTGTTATAGATCTGTGCACTTGAAACCTGTATGGTTTTATTAGCCAATGTCACCCCAGTAAATAAAAATAAACAAATAAAAATTTTAAAAAATGCTATGGCAGATAATAAGTCTACCAGGCACAACTCTCCATTCTACTGGCCCCTCCTTCAGGATGCAAAGGTGACAGAAGGAAAGAAGTCCAAGTGAGCACTGGCTATACCCATGTCAAAAACGAAGAGCAGACAACTGTGCTGTGCAGACCCCAAAAGGAGAGTATTACAATTGATGAACCTGTTCCTGCTTCTAATTCTAACTCTGCAATGGGCTGTAAAAATAAAAGTTGGAGCAAGAAGTAATCAGATGTGAAAACCAGGAATGTTTAGAACTGGTGGCTTTAATTTTAAACTTAGGGTGGCAGCTACCAGGAGAATAAAATAAGACAGTAAACATCTAAATCACTAGGTTTATTCTATTTGTGAATATCTTTTACTTAGAAAAGACAGTTTCAATTCTACTCTTCTTCCATTATTTTTAAAGAAGGTAAGCAGGATGGGAATCAGAGTAAATGCCAAACTTACAATTCTTGTAGCAAGGTTGCCTGAAAGGTTTTCCTTTTGAAAAGGCAATTGCCACTATGAGGTACTGAAAACTGGAGATAAAAAACACTGTGGTATTTTCATAATTTTGTATATTATGTGGATCATCTTCAGTTTCATTGTACGAATGTGAGGAATTTCCATATAGGCTTCCTGTTGTATTACAAGCACTAAAACACACAAAAAATTTTTATGTTACTAAACACAATACCAATTTCCCAAAAGAAACAAATTTTACCTTAAGTGCCTTGAATCACTATCATAAAATAAATAGAAATGAGGTATATAGAAAAAGATCCAACAATGTTAAGATATATAAAACAGGTAGATGAACATTAAGAGTTTTTTCACCTTAGTCATATTCCAATCAGTTAAAAACTTAGAAGAAACTTCATTAATTAATAAACCCCTCTCGCTTTTTAAATTTTGGGAGAAATTTTAGCATAGTGAAGGTAAACAGACCTTGGGTTTGACCTTACCTCTACCACTTTTTAGCTATAACTGAGAAAATATTATTTCATTTTGGAGCCCGTGTCCTGACCTATAAGTGTGGATATCACCTGCTCATTCAGAGGGTTACTGTGGGGAACAAGTAAGAAAGGGTATGTAAATGCCCAGCAATGCACTTGGCATTGAGATGGCCCTCAACATTCTCCAGCTATGGCTCTACTTCTAGGTGGGCAAGACTGTCAAACATACATAGGACTAAGTATAATAGTCTCCAATATCCATTATTAAAACATCAGCTATAATAAGCACAGTTAAGCGATAACAAAATGTTAATCTGCTACAAACCTGGAAAGATTCTTCAGAACAACCCCATCTATTCCTTTTCATACCCAGTGTTTATATGTACATATAAGCAAACAATAATACTAAGTTTCTAAAACTTTAAAGACAAGTAACCTCTTTCAATCAAGCAAACTAAATGTTTGGATCTAGAAATTTAAATCTACGAAATTACCGTAAGAATAGTTTATGTTTAATTAATTAAAATATTATCATGATTTGTTAACTGTAGAACACTCTACCCATAAACAAATAATACTTTTTAAAAAAAAATTTAGGGGAGATATTAACCAAAGAACTTATATGCATAACCCATGGACACAGATAGCGTGCTGAAGGCCTGGGGGTGGGGGAGGAAGGGGGGGCAATGGGGAAATAAAAGGGGACATCTGCAATACTTTCAACAATAAAGATAAATTAAAAAAAAAAAAAAAATTAGGTTTTATGCCGTGACCGGTGTGGCTCAGTTGGTTGAGCGTCATCCCATGCACCAAAAGTTCACTGGTTCAATTCCCTGTCAGAGCACATGCCCAGGTTGCAGGTTTGGTCCCCACAACTGGGGTGTATAGTATAGGAGGCAACCAATCAACGTTTCTCTCTCACAATGATGTTTCTCCCTCTCTCTTCCTCCCTCCCTCTCTCTAAAAAATCAATAAAAACATTTAAAAATCAATAAAGACAATAAAAAAGAATTTAGGTTTTAAAATGTCATTTCCTAACCTGGGATTAGAAAAGTTAGAAGCACCAACATTCTAAGTTTAGAAGAGACTCTAGTGATTAATTTCAACTTTCTTGATTTTACAGGTAAGGAAAGCAAGGCTCAGTAGCAAATTAACAAACTGATCCAACGTCCCATCTTGGTAGTGATTATTAAGATCTTGCCAGACTATCTTCCTATTCACAGAGGTTATCATGATATAAACTTAAACACAGGCCAAATTACTTAAGTGTTTAATCAAGCTACATGCAAAATTTCTATACAAATATTTATATTTATTTTTACATGCATGTATGTCACACACACTTAGCACAGATTTTTAAATGGATTGACCAGCTTACTCTGAATGTGGATTCCATTCTTCATACCAAGGCTGCTGCTTGACCCAAAAAAACCCCCAAGATTGAAATCCAATGCAGATGATGATCTGAGACAAAACGGAGAAGAGAAGGGCCCCCGATATGAGACCTGAAGGTGGTCGTTGTGACACAAGTTCCTTCCAGGCAGGATTTAAACTCACTACATTAAAAAGAAAAACATGGAAGGTTTGTAGCTAAATTAACTTGTCACTATAAAATACATAAGCAGATTCATCAGGAACTTTAAAAATGTGTTTTTGTCTAACAAATCTTTAATATGAAAAATATCTGAAAACCAAGCCAAATGTCCATAAATAATCTGTAAACAATTAAGGTTTTTCCAAAAATGATTCAGGAGGACTTTTTAAATTATTCTACTGAAATTAGGAAACACTAGTACAAGTAAAAAAGAATACTAAATATAAGCATATAAACTAAGATTAATCACCACCCTATCTATATGTTTAACTAAGAACTTATTTCTAAATCTTTAATTGCCAAACTACAGTTTAAATAATACAGCCCAGACAGCGTGGCTCAGCAGCTGAGTGTCACCCAATGATCCAGGAGATTGCAGTTCGATTCCCGGTCAGGGCATATGCCTGGGTTGCGATTTGATCCCCAGTAGGGAACGTGCAGGAGGCAGCCAATCAATGGCTCTCTCATCATTGATGTTTTTATCTCTTTCTCCCTTCCTCTCTCTGAAATCAATAAAGACATATTAAAAAAAATTATTAAAAAAAAGTAATACAGCCCGGCTGGGCGTGGCTCAGCGGTTGAGCATCGACCTAGGATCCAGGTGATCAGGGTTCGATTCCCGGTCAGGGCACATGCCCGGGTTGCAGGCTCAATCCCCACTCAGGGCGTGCAGGAGGCAGCTGATCAATGACTCACTCATCATTGATGCTTCTCTCTCTCTCTCCCTCTCCTTTCCTCGCTCTGAAATCAATAAAGATATATTGAGGAAAAAAAAAAAAAGTAATACAAATTTCTTCCTCTTAAGGCGACATTAACAAAGGTTTGAAGCAATATAAACATAACAGTAACATAAAAAAAGGCTTTGTTTATTAAGGTGGTATCCACTGAGTTTCTCCACTGTAAAGTTTCTATTTTTTTCTCTGTACATAAATAATTTGTATACTAAGGCTATGTAAAACTCTTGTTCCTCATCAAACTTTCATTCACTAGTTTTTTGGGGTTTTTTGAGGAGGGGGTGAGAGGGAGAGAAAGGAAGAGAAACATTGATTGGTTGCCTCCTATACTTGTCCTGATTGGGATTGAACCCACAACCCTTTTTAGGTGTATGGACTGAGACACCCAGCCAGGATTCAATCGCTAATTTTAGCATCCATTAAAGACTGTCTAGATCCTTAATAAACTGATGAACAGAATAGATATAATGACATGGAAGCATGGATCAGACTGATGAATCTCAGAGGGATGGAGGAACGCAGGTGGGTGGAGGGGGAGAGATTAACCAAAGAATTTATATGCAGATATGCACAACCCAAGGACACGGACAACGGTGTGGAGAGGGATTGGGAAGGGGGGTGGAACGGGGTGGAACGGGTCAATGGGGAGAAAAAGGGACATCTGTAATGTTTTAAATAAAAAACAAAAACAAAACAAAACAGACTGTCTATGACATATTATAGAACTGTACACCTAAAACCTATATGATTTTATTAACCAATGTCACCCCAATAAATTCAATGAAAAAGAAAAAAAATGGTCTAAATAAGTCATTCTCAACCAAAATGATTTTGCCCTTCAGGAAACACTTGACAATGTATGGAACTACTTTTGGTTGTGACAACTGGGAAAGTGTTACTGGCATCTAGTTGGGGAGAGACCAGAGATGCTGGTAAGAACCCTACAATGCACAGAATAGTCCCCCCCAACAACAAAGACTTATTTGGCCTAAAATGTCAATAAAACTAGACAGGATTTTCCAAGGTTTAAGTCCATCATTCCATTCATTCACTTACTTGTTCATTCATTCCCTGTCTGCCTGCCAGTAAGGACTTGCAAATTTTTATTTGATTAAATGGGTCAGATCCCATTACCATCATTATTTATTTTGGTGTGAACATCACCAACACCAGGACAAACCAATACCTTGTGTCTCCTTATACGATATACCAAAAAGACACACTGTCACGTTTGTGTTATTCCTGCAAAGAATTCACAAGAGTATAACAAGAATACATCAGACAAAGCCTGGTATATCTTCTTTCATAAAAGTCAACGTCAAGAGACCCCACAAAAGGTTGATGCAACATTCCAGCTTAAAGAACACTAAAGAGACATAATTATATGAAGTTTGTGAGCCCTGACTAGATCCTGGGCACAGGGACTAGAGAAAAAGATGGGTATAAAGGACATTATTGGGACATATGACAAAACCTGAATACCAGCTGTGGATTAGATAATATTGTATCGGTGTTAAATTTCCTGATTTTTATAACTGTGTTTAATAGTATAAGAGAATGGCTTTGTTTTTAGGCAATATTTTCTAAAATACTCAGAGGCAAAGGGGTATGATAACACAAACTTATTCTCAAATATTCCAGAAAAGAGTGGAGAGAGAATAAAGTAAATGGGGCAAAACATAGGCAGCTGGTAATAAAAGGGAATATTCACAGGAAATCTGGAGAGGTATGCACAGTGTTACAACTGTTGATATAAATTTACCAAAGTTTAATAAGTCACATTAGAATTTCATACGCTTTGAAATCAGTAACAAAACAAAATACTCACTTGTAAATACCACTACCAAAATGATTGCCAGATCAATGAAGAGAAACTGGAAGTCTCCTAGGTTACTTAAGACCTACAGAAGTAATTTTAAAAAATATAATTAGTTCTTAGGAACAATTTTTATACCAGTTTCTCCTGGTTTTAGCGCCCCCCCCCCCCC